AGCGGCCGTCAAAGTGGCGCAACCACAACTGGCTGCTGCATCATGACAACGCGCCAGCGCACACCGCCCTCAAAGTTCGGCAGTTTTTGGCCTCAAACACTATGGCCGTCATCCCGCACCCTCCTTATTCGTCGGATTTAGCTCCGTGTGACTTCTTCCTCTTCCCCAAGATGAAAATTCAGCTAAAGGGAAGGAGATTTGAGACGATAGAAGAGATTCAGGCAGAATCGCAGATGGTGCTTGACAGGCTGACAAAGAAAGATTTCCAGGGATGCTTCCAGGCTTGGCAGCGGCGCTGGGATCGTTGTGTTCACTCCCAGGGGTACTACTTCGAGGGTTATGGATGAATTTAATACCTGAGATAAGTGTACGGGTTTTTATAGTCGCAGTCTAGAAACTTTCCGATCGCACCTTGTATATCAGAATTGAAGTGACCAAAATAATCTGTGCGTTGTGTTACCTATTGACAACGACCCAAACTATTAGAGTAAATGATCATAGCTACATTTCACATTTCTGACTATTTTATTTGTGTTAATGAATGTCACTTTAGTGTGAATGTTAATTAATTTTATTAACTATCTTGTTCTGTTCTAATACATATACATTATGACTTTGTTTATAGCAGAATTTTCCCTCTTTCTGGCCAGAGGGTAGACACTCCAAAAAATATGGCCCAGTCTTCACAATTGACCATATTTCTCATAACCACTATTCAAACATCAAGACGTGGGTATTTCGTATCAATAAGAAGGTACGTAAGTCATCGCTTGTGAATTTCTTTAGTAATCTAAAGACTACTGACAAACAAGTAGGTAAGTTATGAAGATAATTCTCATTCCGTATCATATCTCTTTTTTAGGATATGTATAATGGGTGGATAGATATCAGGCACACCTCATATTTCCATCCACCTTGTTTCTTCACAAAGTACTTCAGTTATCAGAATATACTATGGTTCATTAAGCAGAATTGGACATGAAATATGTTAAAATTCCATGTGTATCAGAATACAAGACAGCCCTCAATAATTATATTCACAAGCGGTCAGAACACTAGCCTTGTAAGCCTGGGGTCCCGGGTTCAATTCCCGGTGGTGCCCGAATTTATAACTTGTGTTGGGCAAGGCCGTGGTCTAGGCTTCACGGAGTTTTCCTCCGGGGGCTTCCCCGGTTTCTCCGTGGCATCCCAACAATTACTCCACTCACACACAGAAGAAGGCAATGGCAAACCACTTCTGGATCATCTGCCAAGAACGTATATGAACAGGTCCCAGTCCGAGAAAAGGATGGAAGGATCCTGTTCATATGGACCTGTCGTCAGACAGAACACTAAATAATAATAAGATGAGGTGGTCTAGGCAACACGGAGTTTTCCTCCGGGGGCTTCCCCGGTTTCTCCCTGGCATCCCAACAATTACTCCATTTACACACAGAAGAAGGCAATGGCAAACCCCTTCTGGATCATCTGCCAAGAACGTATATGAACAGGTCCCAGTCCGAGAAAAGGATGGAAGGATCCTGTTCATATGGACCTGTCGTCAGACAGAACACTACAAATAATAAAAAAATAATAACCAAATTCATCTGTTGAGTCATATTTATTCTGTAATTATTTTGTATAAATAAAATACATGTAATTGCAACTTATATATCTTTGTGGCTTCATCCAAATTCTTTTGTAACCCTGCTTAGGGCCACGAGAAGCTTTCTTTGTAATTAAGCACATTTTAGCTGCTCCTTCGTCTTCTGCCGTGCGGAAACAGGATACAGCGCGTGAAACAGCATTAGGAATATATACAAACTTTTGATAGGGAAACCTGTTGGGAAATGTCTACTTGGAGGGCCAAACAAGATTTTTGATGATGACATTAAGGCGGATCATCAGCAAAGAGTTTGTGACAGTGGAAGCGACTGGAAGTAACTTAGGATCATGTATGATCTGAAGCTGTCATGGCGAATGAGTATAATGAATTCTTCTCGGGCTACCAGCCGTGTAAGGTGGTTTAATGGAGAAAACACCGACGTAGTAGAACTACAATACTCTGAGGACGAGGATGAAGATGGTTCTCAAAACGTTTGTGTTTTCTCCATTAAACCACCTTACACGGCTGATAGCTCGAGAATTCATTAACCTTAGGATCATGTCCAGTGGCTGTCGTTAGATGTAGAATACATGGGGGAGATGAGAAGTGCATACAGAATCTTAGTTGGATTTCCTGAGATCAGTCAAGAGACCTAGACATATATGGGAGTATAATGTTAAGACAGATCTTTAAGAAATAGTGCGATACGGACTAGGTTCAGGTAGTTTAAGATGGGCTGTAGTAGTGTGTTGTTATGAACATGCGAATGAATTTTTGGGTTTTGTGAATGACACAAAATTTCTCAGTGTCTGTTAATGTAGGTAAGTCAGTGTTGTGTGGTATTGAGTAAAAAGATCTTATATCAATATTAATTCATCATGTTGATATATCATGTAATTTTAAAAATAGTGAAGTACTAAAATTTCTTCCATTTCAGAAAATCTGGTTATTAGGAAGTAGTATATATATGGATAGCCTTGACAGATGTGTAATATAAAACAAAAGTGATATGTTGTTTAATGCTCAAAAAAAAAAAGTTGTAATAAGAAGTATATCTTGCCATTTTAATTGAAATGCTTTATTTATTGTTTTTGTTTGCTGTTTTCTGTGGATTTGTCTTAGTGGTGGTGAAACAACTATGAATGCCGGGTGTATCGCACCACGCTGTTTGGTCATCACGATGCATTGGTCTGCAATGCATTTTATGTTCATTGTGAAAAATGTTCCTCAGATTTTAACGTCAGTCTGTGAAAACATATTCTGTGATGCTGATGCATGAGGTAGTGGGCAGTTGCGTCACTAATATGGCTTTGATGAAGGGGAATTTCCCCCCCCCCCCCCCCATTACACCAATCCGTACACAGTCAGAAACAGTATCCTATTATGTATACAGATTCCTTGTTCATATTTGATCATTGAAAATTGTTAGTGAATTAGGCTACAGCGTGCATTTAAGTACAGTTTGTTATGCAAGTCAAGGCAATACACAGTGTTTAAGATGAATTTAATTATTTCAGAAATTTAAAATTCCCTTAACCTACATGGTGATTTGATACATCCACATGCATATAGGCTTTTATCTCTGCCAAAGATAAAACTTAGGGAGTCTTAAGAATACTGGTCCCGATTGTGGTTTGGCGTCCACGTTTAGTTCTAAATATGCTGTTCTGACCATCATTTTAATTTCAGAATCTGCCCTATGGATGCTTCTAACTTTGCAACAGATACAGCAAGTGTCTAGCTATTTTTCAACATATTCGCCACCGGAATTGAGACATTTGTCATACCGTGGGACCAACTTTTAATACCTGTGTCGTAGAAGTCTGCCGCCTGGGATTGGAACCACTGTGTGACCACCATCTCCGCCTCTCTGTCATTCTCAAAACGCTGACGCTGACCGGACAGGAATTTCTTGAGGTGTAGGAAAAGATGGAAATCACTGGGAGCGAGGTCCGGGCTGTAGGGTGGATGATTAAACACCTCCCAGCTGAACTCCTGCAGGAGACTCGCTGTCTGTCGAGCCGTGTGCGGCCTAGCGTTATCACTGACCGCACTTCACAGTCGGCGGGAGCTGGAATAAGAACCTCCATCTTCAACAGCTGCAACGATGCTACTGTGAGAACGCGGGAGGTGCCGTTAGTGCATGCGCCATGCTACGTCATTGCTCTATCACGTACGCACAGTCGCTTCGCGCAATATAAGGTTTGCTAGCTGTGGGACGAGTGGGAAACTTACTTTGAGGACGCGCCTCGTAGCTTCTGTACCATTGCTGAAGTAGGAAAGGATGGGAACACCATCATATCTCGAGACGTTAGATACAAACAGTATGGCATGCTGCCTTGCTTCAGAGTAAGACTTTTAACCTGAGTTTCCACAATTTTTTTCTAGATTGTGTCACTCACTGAACTGATGGCTGGTGTGAAGGCTCCCCCAAAAACAGTCCAACTGTTCCAACTCGGATGCTGGCCGATGGGACATAAGGTACCCACATCAACTAATTCACTGGTCGAGTTGATGAATATGGTGGAACGATGGCGCCAACGCACAGAATATGGACCAGTGGTTGTCGTATCACCGTAAGTAAATTTTGTTCGCCTTCAAGAGAAAGAAAGCAATTCCTGTATCACATGTATATACATAAACTCAACCTGTTATGTTGCTCATTAGCGGTATATTCCAGACATATTAAGTTAGTATGCATATATTTTCTTGTACTCTCTGCACAGAAGTGTTTTTATATAAATTAAGTGATGTTTCAGCACTAGATAAAATTTTCATCAACATAATCTATTTGAATAATTAATAAATTCATGAGGTAGAACGAAGTCAAACAAAATTCGTAGGACAGGACCGTTTGTTTAACGGACCATTTAAATTAGTGGGCGTAAAGCAAACACGTGGAGAGGAAATGAACCGATATTAATCTTCGACACAAACGTCACGCCACGTCGACTCCAGGCATCAAAGGGGCGACTGATGCCTCGAACCCACAACCGATTCCTTTCATCAACTGTTCGATTAGGATCAAACCCTGGATTTTTAAAGTCTCCGCGCGCACAGCCGCAGTTTCTGCATCAGATAATTTCAGCACGTCTGAAGTTCTCTGGCAATTGTCACTACCACGTCAACATTCAGTGATCTCTTATTATCACAACTGAGCGAAAAATCGACTCCTTTAAACTCAGCTTTTTAACACAATTATAATGTTCCGCGCAAATTACGACTGTTTAACTTATTTATAAAATCAAACAATTAACTCTGAGAAAGAAATTATTTTCCCGGCGGTGTCCGAATTTATAACTTGTGTTGGGCATGGCCGTGGTCTAGGCAACACGGAGTTTTCCTCCGTGGCATCCCAACAATTACTCCATTCACACACAGAAGAAGGCAATGGCAAACCACTTCTGGATCATCTGCCAAGAACGTGTATGAACAGGTCCCAGTCCGAGAAAAGGATGGAAGGATCCTGTTCATAATATTCATTGGAATGTTTGTTTATTACCTTCACATGTTTTATGTGAGTCATGGTGTCTGCTGTGGTTTTATATCTGATGAGAAGAGTATGTGTTCAGACACAACCTGTTGTTGCTGATCTGCGTTGTTTAGGTCCAATATTCTTACTCTGTTGCACTGTATCCAATCACTGCTACCCTGAGTTTAGTCACAAAAGATAAGTTGACAAATAATTATTAGTTGGGTTCATTAACTCTCCTTTGATGAGATTTTCAAACTAAATATAAATTCATATTCAGTTTTGCCTGCTATATAATGACGGGAAATGATTTTGACAGAAACAGAACGGATGTAATGCAGTGGTAGGTGAAGAAGTAATTTTTATGTTGACATATTTACATTTTTATATAAAGAAACTGATGATAGTTCAGAAACTAGTGGTATGGTACTTGTATAGTAGCTTTTACCTAATTGCATCTTTCTTGCTTGAAGACCGCAGAAGGACTTTGTAATTGTGCTGATATTCCTCTTGTGACAAGGTCAGGCTCTGGAAACGAGTCCCACTGACTTCGTTTTCTCATAGATTTTTGTAGCTGCACCCTTTCAAAAAATACTTGAAATAACACCTTACAAACTTGGCATCCAGTATTTTTGTCCAATTCCTACAAATGCCAAAATAGCCTGAGATATTTTAGAGTGTCATTAAATAATACATTCAAAGGACCACTAGAATTTATGTATTAAAAGAAACATTTATTAATGTTACAGTAGTCATGGAAGATTGTAACTCTATTGGGCTGGAATAAAAGGAATTTGGCCTAAGGTGGGGTATCGATAAAAAATTTAAAGGTAAATTCCTGCTTGGGCTTAGTTGAGTCAAATGGTCCTTGGATAAGGCTGGGTAAAATTCTAAAATTTTGGCCCATGCAGACCTCTACTTTACTTTCCCTTACTGAATGGCTTCAAGCAACCAATACAGCATTGCATGATTTGATGCACTGTGAATTCTGAACTGTCTTCACTTTGTGTTGCTGCCTCCATCATCAGGGCAATGACGGAGTCAGTATGACCTCTGAAACGTCGGTAAACATCTACCGGATTACATGGCACAACAACCCAGAAGACAGCAATCTTCAGACTCACCATTGCTGTATAGGTTGTAGGAGTCTACTGAGATCCCAACAAACAAGCCAAGTTAACAGAAGAGACTTAATAAGTGACATAGTTATTGGTTAGCCTAGGTCTCCTTCTCAATGTTTGCGCTCTGTGAAACAAAAATCATGTGTACGAGTATATTATAGCTCTCTCTCACCATTTATGGGGGGGGGTCACATTCTTGAAAACGCTGTGAACGGCAAAACCGTGATCACAAAATTGAGACCTTATAGGCAAAAACAAAACCATAATGTACAAGCCTGTGAACAATTAGGATCTCCTGTAATTGCAGAGATTTTATGTCTAATAATGAAAACATTTTAGTTTCCTCCAACTATCTGCCTTGTAATATAAAACTCATAAGTTTACAGACATCAGCTTAGGTAAAGAAATAATATGGCCGAATTTCGTTTGCAAAGTACCTGGTTTGAATCTTGGCCAGGGCACCAGCTATCCTAATAAAGGTTCTGCGTACTTTTTCCTCTCTTACCCAGGCACAGTTGCCAATCATAACCATCCCACCATAACATTTATTGCTCAGTAACAATTGTAGTCGATGTAGTATTGTTAAACAATTCATGGAACAAGCAACATAGTTGTTAATATGTTATAGTGATGGGCGTAGTCGTTGTGGAGTGTACTGTGCAGCAAATGCTTGCATTGAGCAAGTTATTCAGCACGGAGAAGTGGACATCTTCCAGGCTGTGAAAACTGTCCGCAGGCATAGGCCTCAGCTCGTTGAAAACATGGTGAGTCCCGTGTCGCTCCATCTTGTACGTTCCTCTCTTTACTGAATGAGATTTCCCCAGTCACATAGGTTATAGGGTTCTGAATGGAGGGATGAATGTCAGTGATGGCTTTACTCATAGTTAGGAAGACATAGAAAGAGGAAATTATTGGCCTCACGGCATATGCATTGAGAAACTGATTAAAACTGCAGTAAACCTCGGTTAGGACACCCATCCTCCGGACTGACAATTGACTGAAACCAGAGCCTCCCAGATACGAGGTGCGATCGGAAGGTTTCCAGACTGTGAGTATAAAAACCCGTACACTTATCTCAGGTATTAAATTCATCCATCACCCTCGAAGTAGTTCCCCTGGGAGTGAACACAACGATCCCAGCGCCGCTGCCAAGCCTGGAAGCATCCCTGGAAATCTTTCTTTGTCAGCCTGTCAAGCACCATCTGCGATTCTGCCTGAATCTCTTGCCAAAGACTCGCCAAAACTGCTACGGAAACCTGTGAAATGCTAAAGCAAGCATTTGGGGAGTCCGCAAACTTTTGTGTGGCATTCACGTTTTAAAAATGGCTGAACCTCTGTCGATGATGACGAGCGTTCTGGACGACCATCTTCGAGCACAACGCCCGAAAATGTTACGAAGATTCGGCAGGCCCTTCACGAAGATCGACGTCGTACCATCAACGACTTGTGCGACATTTTTGGGATAGGCTATGGGACCTGTCAGCTGATTCTAAAGGAAGAACTCCACATGCGACGCAAGGCTCCTGTCTGAGGACCAGAAGCAGAATCGACTTCTCGTTTGTCAGGAGTTTAAAGATCTTGCAAGAACCGACCCCAACTTCCTTTGTAAGCTCCGTGTGACTTCTTCCTCTTCCCCAAGATGAAAATTCAGCTAAAGGGAAGGAGATTTGAGACGATAGAAGAGATTGAGGCAGAATCGCAGATGGTGCTTGACAGGCTGACAAAGAAAGATTTCCAGGGATGCTTCCAGGCTTGGCAGCGGCGCTGGGATCGTTGTGTTCACTCCCAGGGGAACTACTTCGAGGGTGATGGATGAATTTAATACCTGAGATAAGTGTACGGGTTTTTATACGCGCAGTCTTGAAACTTTCCGATCGCACCTCGTATGAAGACAGAGTGAAAAAGACTCATTTTGTGGTGTTCGGGGTCAGTTTTGAATGTTTTTCTCATTATCCTTTGTTTATTATCAATATCCTTGGATCATGTGTTGTTCACTGTAATAAAGAGTATAATGTTTTCTAGTATCAAGACCACCACATTTTGTTAAATTAAATGATAAAGGTTAAATTGGCTATAAAAACCAGAACAGTGAATGGAGTACAATTCTGCTGTTTTTTTGCTATAGGTCTTAACATTCTGGTAGCTTTATCCCTTGAAGAAGTACTCTCAACATGTGTAATTTACAAAAATAATAAATACTGATGTGGTATGTTCTTTTCTATATCAACACTTTTCTTTGTACGTACTGTTATTTCCATGCACCTTAATGTATGTGGGGCTTAAAAAACCATTTGACTGCGGAGTCCAGAAAAGGCTTTGATATCCCTCATAAAAAGAATTAAAATGAAATACAGATTTATTACACATGTAAAGGGAAAGACGAGGTGAAATTTTGTTTGTACGTAAGTGCCAAGCCATGAAGGTATGCTGAAGGCCTGTATATGGAGATCCATACATTCTAAATCTTAGCACAAAGTGGTGGTGAATAGTCATCATCACACTGTGGATGCTGTACCCATGGCGAAACTGTCTTTAGCACTTATCGGTTAGGATGCTCCAAAGCCACTTAACGGCATGGTGGTGAAGAGAAGATTTCTGCCCTTACCGTGAGTCAAATCCTAACTGTCCAGCCCATAGCCTGTCACTTTCTGTTCTGGCTGACTAAAATATGCAGATGTGAAAGATAATTCTTTGCATCCACAAAAGTTTACTCATTCTGTATGATTTTTTTTCAAAATTTTAACATGTCTGTGCCATTTAATTTAAAAGAAGATTTTGTTAGTAAGAGTCATGTATGAAATTTAATATTTTTACTTATATTTGTTTAAATTTGTCAGTCTAATCACAAAAGTTCCTATTAAATATTAAAATATTACTATAATTAACATTTATATATTTAAAATATATTAAATGATGATCTCTATCGAAATGTTCGATTTACATTAGATCAACACTTTTTACACGACATGTTTCAGTTCTATAAGAACCATCTTCAGGTGTATAAAATAATATAAACTTAAATATAATTTCTTAAATGCAACTTTTAGTCAGATGTTTTTCAGATTTCAAATGATGTTTTCTTCTAGATTTATTGTATTTTTAATATCGTATTCGAAGTTGTTCAGTATGTACGTCGTGCTTAACATGATTTGTGTGGGTGGACGTTTGTTGTTGTTTTAGTATCCAGAAATGAAGTTGTGGAGGAGTTACGTCCGTCTGGAAGTATTGCCGTGTTTGAAAGTGTTGATCTAATGTAAATCGAACATTTCGATAGAGATCATCATTTAATATATTTTAAATATATAAATGTTAATTATAGTAATATTTTAATATTTAATAGGAACTTTTGTGATTAGACTGACAAATTTAAACAAATATATATTTATCACAAAATGATGCAACTTTATCATCTCATTTTTACTTATATTGTTTTAATATGAATTGAAAATCTTTCAGAAATGAATCCTGAATACATAATTAATTTTGTTCAAATTGTTTTTATGCAGACGGAGTACAAATACTGCTATGACTTGGTGCTGCACTACGTTCTCCATTACCTCAATAAGGACATGAAAGAGAAAAAGTGAGAAAGTGAGCAGGAAACACAATGGTATATTGAATTTGGCCGTGGGTCTGCTTTACCTCAAACACCTGAAGACCCTTCTCATTCTGGTGAAGGAACAGAACAGTCTGGCCATGAAAAGGCCCGATGTTCTAGAAAGTCTGCTGCCCATCGCTACAGGTGGAACTGTTGTTCCTGTGAGCTTCTTTCACCTTGTGCCGACCGTGATCGACCACGAGCCGCAGAAGAGATTGTTAAGCCACCGTCACATGATAAACCCTTATCAAAAGTAGCTGCGGTTTATGATGAAACATCACCTTCATATTCAGGTGAAATTGTGGCTGCTTCGTATGGTCAGCTTTGGGGTAGTCATTTACAATATCATGATTCTATGGTGACTGGAAGTGATGATAGAACAACAGCTTCCCTGAGTGCCACATCTTTGAATGAACACCCCGCTTATTCAGGAGAAGCTGTACCAAAGAGCAAGGAATGGATTCTTTTAGATAAGACTCAGAAACTGTCTTCTAAGTACAGACATTCTTCTAAAGTTGTTGCAACTCCTGCGATTCAGAAACAGTGGTCGTATGATGAACAAGCTACGAGACCTATTGATTTGCCTAGTAAACAGATGGTTTCATCTGAGCATACTTATATCCAAAATACATGTATTGGTACTACTGGGAAGAGCCTTAGCCATTTACACAGTGATGGTGCAGCCAGCAGTGACACGTCTTACAATAATGAAAGAGAAAGGATATCATCTCAGATTGTAATCAGTAAAGGTTTGTCTTGTAGTGAACTTGTCTCAGCGAAACCAGAAATGCCTTTTGTAGATTTGGCATTGAGTGCTGAACTACTTGACTTAGACAGCAATGATCTGTCTTGCATTAACCACAATAATCAAATTTCTAGTGAGCTATCTGCAAGTAGCACTGATTTTATTGATGGCGGACACATCACGAAAAGCGACAGCTCATCTCATGAAGGCTATGGCGACAGCGGCAAAATTTGTGTTGAGGAAGCCGCATCATTTGATGACAGACGGATGACTTCTCGTGACTTTCGACAAATCGCGTACAGCAGCGAGTCTTCTGAACCTGGCGTCGATGTGCCCTGCAGCGATTATTCTGAACAAAGCACTGACACGTCAGTTTTTGAACGTATTACAGGCGTCGCTGAACACATTGAACCTGAGACTGTTCTACAATGTACTGAACATACAGCTATTATTGAATATGTACCAAACCATAGTACCTTGCCAACTAGTGAACTGTTTGCCACAGATAGAGAATGTATTGCAGATGTTTCCAAGATACCTTGTAAAAATGATATTCTTGAAGAAGTTCCATGCGACAATCATATGGTTGATAACACAGTGCAGCCTGACAAAGAGCATGTTGCGACTAGTACCGAACGACCCAAAAGTGAAAATGTAGCCACTATCACAGACCAACCAAAGAGTGAAAATGTTGCTACTAGCACTGAACAGTTAAGAAGAGAGCATGTTGCAACTAGCACTAAACGACCCAAGAAAGAACACGTGGCAACAAGCACTGAAGAGCCAAAGAGTGAGCACGTGGCAACGAGCACTGAACGTCCTCACAGCAGGAGTGTGGCAACTAGCACTGATGAACCGTTCAGTGACGTTGCCACAAGCACTGATGTGATACATTCCAAGCATGCTGCTACTGGCATTCAGACATCATTTGAAGAGCAAGACTCGAGCGTCACGCGTGCTGAATCTGGCATTGAAGTACCTCCCGAGGAACACTTTCAAAGTCAGACATCAAGAATTCTCAGTAATGACCTGCCTTATGATGACCATGTTTTAACTGACAATAGTGACCTTGTAATCGGTGCCAGTATGACTCTCAATGAAGCCACTGTAAATGGCACTGATCAAAGTGAACTTGATGAGGAGACTGAAGACTCATCTCTTCAAGAACTAGAATCCAGCAGTGATGAATTGCCTTCTACTGGACAAACAAGTTGTTTTCCATTCTGATGCTCTTTGGGTATGAAAGCCGTGTTTTCACCCATGTTGTCAGTGCCTTTCCTGTCAAGTCTCTGCCATCTGAACTTGATATTTGCCAGTGTTTCCAAACTATGATCCTGAAATTGTGTCTGTTACATGAAAAATTCGTTACCAGTGAGCACTCAAAGTCATTTTTGTCAAATTAACAGTTGTAGGTTTTTCAACTTGGAGTCACTGTATGATATTTCTTCTTAAGTGTAGTTTTAAATTGTATAGATGTTCAGAATGACAGCTTCTGGCATGAGGAAAGATATTTTATTGGCCAGACACGATGCAGTGTATTCTTGACCGAAGACGAGTCTGGTTTTGGCCCATTTATAAATCTGTGAAACTTCATTCAGTTCCCTCCCAGTTTAGCTTATCACTTCATTGTTTCTCTCGAAAGTAGGATATTATTTATTTTTTTCACTAATTTCATTTTGTGACATATATAAATTGCCAGGTTCCAAATTCATCTGTGGTGGATCTGAATGAACAGATTGGTTGCATTTTGATCTTTGTTTTTCATAATTTTATATAACTGCTGGGTGATGAGTAATTTAATGAGTGGGTGCGTGATATAAATACATCAGTTTGAATAAATGAATAAATAAATTAAAGAACAAATGAATGGATTAATTTGTATTTAATACTTAGTTGTAACCTAGTTATCAGTGTTATTGCAGTATGTTAAGGATATAATAAATTTTGACCAAACGAATGTTAAACAAAACAACTGATTAAGTGAATCATGAGCGAACAAATATATGAATATATAACTGGATATAATTATAATCAAACATGTTTAAACAATTGAAATATAAAATAAATGTGGAATGTCCTGGCTCAATGTTCTCCTTCAGCTGTTTTGTTTTAAAATTATATGTAATTATAATTTACAACAATATTGCACAAAGTGTTCTGAGAAATGGTGACAGTGGAGTGATTTGTGTAGAAAAGGAAATGATGAGGTTCCTACTCGCTCCATTTAACATCTGCTGAAAATTGTCAGATAAACTTAAAAACAATTTTTGTCCAGCTCATGAAAGTAATGCTCATACACAAATTTTTGTAGAGTGGTTTTGCCCTTTACTGATGCCTCGATACAGAAATAGCTGTAATTTCTTACTATTAGAACATACTATCGGTACATTTGTACTTGAATAGCCTTGTAACGATACTAAATGTACGTATAGGAGATATGTATAATCCTGGCATTTTATTTAAATAGTACAGTGTGCAGAAAACCAATATTTTATATGTGATATAGCATAAAAAGTACCCTTTTTTACTGAACTAAATAATTCTGAAACAATCTTTGTATGCCTCACCAATCTTTTTTACTCTAAAACATTAATTTGAATTACTTCAAGGTTTGTACACTGTTTTAAATATAACTATCCCTAACACATAAGTAACAACAACAAGAGAATCAAACATGAAAAACTGTTAGTTAAGTAGTGATTAATAATCAGTAGTCGAGCTGTTTAGTCTGTGATATCTTGCATCCTGAGTGGTGTTTTCTTAGAGGGATACCTAACTTGCGTGTTTTACGAAGATTTTGTAGCAATTGCCTATTAACATGGTGATACTTCCTTCCAAGTGATAAAGTTTCAGCACTTTGTAACCGCTCACCATCCAAACTCAGAAAATGTACAAAGACATGCAGCTTCTAACACAGCTACCATATGGTCCAATTTCTAACAAATTCAAGATAGTGTTGCAAGATGTAATGTTTCAGAATAGTTATTTTGTATGCACAAATATATGTTTCATGCTAAACTTTGCAAATTAGTTGCCTAATCAAACCCTGTTGATATATGGATGTAAGATACACACATATTACGGATCTTGTGATCGACGATTTACTGTCGAGTAGTTGGGAGCAACGCGTGGCGGGAAAATATGTCGGAACGAATGTGTGAAATAAATAATATTGTTATATTGAGTGTAAAATTATGTTTATCTACTGTTATATGCAATTCAGGAAAATTTACTCTCCAATAAAATGCACTGTAATTAGCAGTGTATGAAAAAATTATACAGAAAACAGGAAATCAAGTAACGGATATACATTTAAAGATTTGTAGAAGTTACCGTTGACCCATATAAGATGGAAACAATACTAGAAGAACAGGAAGACAAAATAAATAAACAGAATTTAGTAATTAAGTTTTTGTGGTGTTCTGTAATGTTTATGTCCATAAATTATATGTTTTACATAAGAATGTGTAGCGTCACTTTAGGAGTGTATAGTTATGCATGTAGCACAGAGAAAGGGGAAAAGGTGGTTGAAATATGGCATATGTTATGAAGCTTTAAAATAAAATTAATAATCTATTTATGATGGAAGTGGTATTAATTACGGATAAAATTATGTTTCTAAAATGGAGAAAGACTTTCTTAAGGATTTTAAATTATACAAAAAATTTATTTGAATAATATGGTATTTATTCTTTTCTTTGCATAATTTAAGTGATGCATTTGCAAATTAACACAAAAACAAGAAATCTTGCGCTACAAAACTATATGGAATGGTGTGAAGTAATGTGCAAACATTGAGAAGTATAATATTAAAGAGGACTTCCATATTTGAATACACACATATGTTCTTTGCAAATTCAGAATTATTAATAAATAATTGTCAGTTACCTCAGATAGACAACTTTAGTTTCCAGCGGTGTTAATTTCTTATTTAAGTATGATAAATACAAACTAATACATAATAATGCACATTATCTCTGTGGTAATGTACTGGTCTTGTGTGCATTGGGTCATGGGATGAAGTTCATTTTTTTTTCCTTTTATGTAGCTGCCATATTGTTTTGTTACACAAAAACAATTACTCTGCCAAAGTTTTGTATTTTTTGAAAGTCTGTGACTATACATCAATTTATGGCCCTACTGTAAGTGGGGTTGTTTGCCTGCGATGTTGGTGTTACTGATTGCAGGAAATTGTGAAGTTAATTTTAGGGTTGTCCCCAATAGCATAATTTCCACACAAAATTTCATCCAAATCCGTCAGGCAGTTCTCGAATTGAATCACGTGGACACACGACCAGCCCTATATACGTTCATCTCGTGCACATCGCACGAGGAACGCATAATAACTTAAGAATTTTGATGACCAGTTTCATTAGGTGAAGAGTCATTTATATAAACAGCTGATAAAAGGACTTTTGTAGAAACAGACAACTTACAGAAGCTTACCTTTCAAAGTTAGAAACAAAAATATTTTTCTCAGAATGAATTGTTTATGAGGGACAGCACAAAAGATGTTACAAGTAAGCATTGATCTGCTGAGGTGATGTGTTGAATAATTCAAAATTCATTTACATTTGTTATGTTTAAAGGTCAGTGGCAGTTGCCACTGACCTCTCTCTGCAGATGGAATGAAATGTATTTTCTAAGGAATCTTTGTGGAAACGGTGTGCATCTGAGGTGCTGAAAACTTGTTAGTTTGTGTGTTGCATTGTGAGTATGAAAAGATTATGTTATGCTGTAATTGTACCAGAACTTTTAACGTGTTAAAACATAACAGATGTCCCAGTGTTTGCAAACACAGAGCATAATTTGGAGCATGGCACCAATTATTGTAAAAGGGACCAAGTTTCTTAATCAGTAAGAAACAATGGATGATTAATATTTTATATACTTGCTCCAGTAAAGGATAAAGGAATGTTAGGACTTGGTTGCTTGTTAAATGTTTAAGATATGGCAAAAATATTATTCACAATGTCATAACTATTTCAACATTCAGATTAGCAATACTCAATTTGTGATAGTTACCAGAGTATGAAGTATAATATAACTGAAAAAGAAATTGTAACTGAGAATTTTTATCAAAACCAATCTCTGTAAAATTTCAAAAGACAATCAGAGATAATTTTTCATTGAAGGCACACACAGTAACTCTTCAAGTGAAGGTTTAAATACCAGTGCTATAATGTTTCTGATAAAATGTAAGAATGTTTCACGATTAATGCTGTACCGCACAATTTCTGTGGTCTGCTGCAGTATCAGCATAACAGACCGAGGCATTCTTGCAATAGAAATAATCGATTCTGACAAATTATTATAAATAAAAATATTTTTGGACAGAAAAATATCCCTAAATTAGAAAACTTTATTATACTATAGTATGTAATTCTGAGTACATTACAAATAATAACTTTGCTAGGAGATGTTGTACATAAATAAAACAGTTCTGATTCAGATTTGATATTATTAATACCCATACTACACATTTTATACCACCATTCATGCAGATCTGAATACTGCATCTGAAACCCAACTTGTGAAATGAACAATATTTCTTATAAAACATGTCATGTTAGTGTGCATTTCGTATCTCCCTTATGCATATTAAATGTCCTACCTAACTTGCCTTCCTCAGTTTGATTATTGTTACGAGGTATGTAGCCCATCATTATGGATTTTTCTTTGAAAACACTTATTATCCCTGATTGATATGGTTTATGGAGCTGTCCAGGCTGGACACACTAGTTTGTGGAAAAAACCTGGTTCGGTAAGATAAGACAACTTAGTCGATAGTCAGCAAAGAAAACCACTTGTTGAGAAGATGTTGAAGGATGTAGTATTATTATGGTTTGATTATTATTGGGTTAATCAATCTGTTCAGGACAGGAACGATAGAAATTAACAATTACAGAATTAGCACAATTCATAAAAGCAATGTACCAATGACTAATTTTTAATGCTTAGATGTAATTTGTGTTGACTTTAGCCTTTCTCACTAACAACCAAAGAATTAATAATGTGAAGGTTGTCCATAGGTTTTTAGTGGCTGGATTTCAATGTGTAACTTTACATTTTTGGTGAGAGTCAAGATATTTGGTGTTAACCAGCATTTTGGCAAACGTTGCATTCCCCATTTTCAAAGTGGTTACCTGCATTGAAAATGGCAACTGCAATATCAGATGTGGCTCTCGCCCGAAAGCTGAAGTTATACAATAATGTAAACATTAGCAGCAGTATGTTCATTCTTTTAAAGTAAAGTCACAAATTCCTTTTTTTTGTCTCTGAAAACTTAATACAAATCAAAATTAAAATTTTAATCACTGGTCAAAAAATTGTTACTTTTTGTCAATAATGTGGATGAAATATGCTATTTATTACTAAATGTGGTATGGTGATATGAAAATGACAAAAATTTGTAACATGCACATTTTTATCTCCTTATTTTTATTTTTATTCAAAGTATGTGAAGTTGTATATCACCTATTACGCACTTTTAAATCTAACATTATGATTGCAAAATATAGCTAAAAACTCTCAGAGAAACACAAAAATAACGAAGCATATGATATTCTGACTCTAAATTCATTACTGATCTTTTCTAAACTATGACATGATGCAAAATATTTTAAGTCCAGATCTGGAATTTGCACAGAATTAATGTAAAGAGTTTGTTTGCAAAACCTTGTTTATTGTTTGCTTGTGATGCTGCAATATGGTCCATCAGAAAGGATATGCATAAGCCAAATACCAACCATGACATGCCAGGAACTATACAGCCTTGCCAAATTAAAAAATATGTGGTATTCAGATATAAGTTTATAATTTGCAAAATATTGTATTACAGGTCTGCAAACATTATGGTAGTGTTATACAAATTTTTTATAAAACTAACATCTCTTATCCTGCTACTTATGACAAATTCTGTTGATTCAACTTGGAATGATGCTGAGGGTGGTACAATACCAATTCCTCAAGACAAACTCAGCTTGCCCCAGGTAAGCAGGTAGTATAACTTCTGATTGTGATCACTTGTATTTAGATCTTCTGAATGTACTGGATTCATTTCAGTACAGTCTGCATAAAGTTGCTTGTAAACTGGTTTGACCTTAAAGGCCAAAAACACCAGCATTGACTTAAGGATCTTCATCCTGAATATAATACTACAATGGATCATAAGGAAGTAGGGATGAAGGGTGTTGAATGAATTCGTGGGCACTGGCAGGCTCATGTGAACATAGTAATGAACCTTCGGAATTCATAAAAGTGTGGAATGTAATGACTAGCTGAACGTCTGAATAGATTTGCACGAAAGACTCTGCTCCATGGAGTTGATTAGTTAAAACAAACAATATGTGTCATAGGTGATATAATTCACTGCATGAAATTATACAATTTTACTGCAACACATTTATGAACCTAAAGGCAGAAAAATAAAAAAAACTTTGAACACTTGAGTTTCCAAACATTTCCACGTAAAGCGCTACCCTCACATTTATAATGGCGTCTTATTTTGAAAAGCTAGGTTATTGCTGTGGTGTTACGAAGATACGTCTGCGGTTACAGTGTAAAGAAGATGTTGTACGGTGTTTGAAAGGGAATGGCTGGCAGAAATGTCGTTTTGCAGATGATGTAAATTGTTTGATCAAACTTGTTGCATTTGTAAAGGAAAAAGCCGTGGAATATCATCAGTCAATGGTGGATTCAGCTCGAGCGACTTTCGTTCGCATTCGACTCAAATCTACCAGGCATGATGTCCGAAAAATAAATATACCACACACAAAACAGTGCACGAAATTCAGCGGAGACGTTTGAAATTTAAGGGTTATAAATAACATTTAACTGCCCAAGACAAAGAAGTTCGCTCCACGGACGAACTTTTTACAACCAAAATTGTTTTGAGGGATGAAATCATATTGCATTTATCGGGAAATGTTAAGCGACAAAACCTGAGAATCTGGGGGAGCAACACTCCACCCTAAATTATTTGTCCAAACAAAATGTATTAGGGTTTTTTCTTTGCTGAAAGTACTGTGCAAGTATAGTGTATCTATACATGTTGGAGGAATTACTCATGCATGTTTTGGAAGAAGGTTCCAAAAGAACATACAGTTCCAACAAGATGGAGCACGTCCACCTGTCCACAAAGAAGTGACAAACTTCTTAAATCACAAGTTTCCAGGTAAATGGATGGCAGAGGTAGGTCTGTCTGTAAAATGTAGGCCACAAAAACTTGATATTCTCACCTACTCAAACGTGTTTATTTTTCAATTCTGTGCCTTATAGTTATGAGCAATGGTATCATAAAATGGTATATATTTTATGTGTACACCCTAACCTTATTTGTACCTTAGTACAAACAACATGTGATAAGTAATTCTTGTTATAAATATAAATGTATGTGATGTAAAACCAATATTAATGAATTAGTAATGTAAAAACTGCTAATCCTTTCAAGCTAACAAATTTTGAGAAGTAATCATTATATAAAATGAAATAAACTCAGTCTCCTAAAGTGTTGGAAAATATTAGGTAATAAATACATTTTTTGTCATTGTTACAGATTAGTTTGGTGAAGACAGTATTTTTGCTGTTGGTTATTTTATGGTTTTATGGCATGCTTCCTATTTCAATTGCAATACCTCTAAATGATTTAGTAGAACGGAGGAGCCTAGAACACCTGGAGAGCCCCAAGGAAAGAACTTGCAAGGTAATTTTCAGTTTTTGTTGTGTTTATTTTTACATTTAGTTAGGAGGCAGGTAGGAAAAAACTAAAGATTTCTCATTAAGTTTACAATATCTGGTAAACGATGTAGCCAAGAGTAAAAAATAATCATTTGTGTAGATACTGTTTTGGGATGGCAGCCTTCATCTTCACATACTGATTAAAATATAATTCCCATACTTTTTTAACAAGAAGCTATGTAAAATTCAAGACACCAAGCCATGGGTAGGAATAGATAAAATCATGAATTTTCATACATAGATATTCTTTTTCTGGTTCCCAAACACACAGGATATCAAATAACAATATGATTGAAAACGTGAGTAAAAGGTCTGGACCAAATATATATAACATTCATAACATAAGAATGTTTATATTAGTGCACTTTACTCTTGTAGCAAACTTGACTTCATCGATACAGGTGTCCCAAAAATACGTATACACACATCTCATGAATTAAATAAAGACATTTTAATAACCATTACATATGTCAGCATTGGAACTTGTTGAATTAATGAGTCTGACGTAGGTTTTCAAAATGACCACCGTAAATTGTAGAGAAAAATATCGCGGTGTTATCTGTTAACTGTAGGCTACACTAGGTTCCCTCATAAACATGTATACTAATAACTAACTAACTCCCTGGTAGAAGAACCCGCAGGTCAATCACTGACAACACCAAAGCCCGCCACCGGCGACGATTCTGAGCCAACTTCGACCATTTGCCATGCTCATAGCCCACCTCCCTAAGGTCCATCTTTCGAGATCAGTAACAAGGTTAATATTCTGTATTGTAATGTGTTACATCTTTTTGGGACACTCTGTATGTCTGGAATTAATGAAAGAAAGTCTCAGCACAGCTAACACAATATGTGCCATTCGTCTCTAAGCTGGACGATTTAGTCTACAACTTCATTACCAACTTATTATTGCTTCTTAGGTGTAAGAAATATATAATTCTTTCATGTCTATGTAACTGATACTCTGTAAGTAGCAGTACAGAACTTCTTCTTCTTCTTCGGCTCTCTGGTCTGTGTTCGGTCCATGGCCTCCTCAATTCTCCTCTTCCATTCAGTCCTCTGTTAGGTCCGTCTGTATGAGGCTTTGATCGAGGTTTCGAAACATCTTCCTTTTTACGGCGCAAGGTTGTTAGCCTTGCGACTAACCCCCAACCTGGAGGACCAGGGTACCTGTCTTAGTCTGACCTCTCCCCCTCGACCAGTCTGGCTAGGGAGGCCCTACCAGTAGCTCTTGGGGTCACTGAGGTACTCAAGCCCCACCACCACGACAAGGTGCAGGTACCATTAAGTGGGGGCTCTAAAGGACTAGTGCTGGACAAAAGGAAACCTGAAAAGAGACGTACTTAACCGAAGAAAAACTTTGTGTTATTGTGGCTTGGTTAGAAGCAAGTTTGAAGAAGTTATATCTTTTGGATTTTCAATGTGGGTTGGCAGAATGTACAGTTTACACCAGTACAAAGTTTCTAAAGTTATGGCCTTACAAAACTATAGTCACATGGCATGGTACACTTCATGTGGTTGCGTAAGCAGCCCAAATAACAGATATTGGGGCACAGAAAATCCTCATTCTGTTCATGAACTGCCATCACATTTTTAAAAGTTGGGGTTTGATTTGTGCATGAAGGGCAGTACAGCCCATTTATTTTCATGAAACAATCAGCTCTGAATGTTGCGTGAGATTGATTCTGTCGCCTTTCTTCGGCCGACTGACTGATGAAGATAAACTGTGTAGGTATTTTACGTAAGGTAACGCAAAGCACAAACTGTGAAAATTCTGCTGTTGCATTAGATGAAGTCTTTGGCAGACAAATCATAAATTGAGGATTGCATCCTCCACAATCACTTGATTTAAATACTTGTGACTTTAATGCTGAAATAAAAAGTGTTTATGAACAATCCACACTTTTTGATAGAACTTCAAATATTGAGCATGAAATTTTCCACTATTCCTTTAAAGCAACTTTGATGCACATCTAGAAACACATTCTCACTGCGTGAGGTATGTTTGGAAGCAGAAGGCCATCACTTTGAGACTTTTCTGTATAAAATAAGGCAAGTTAAACTGCAGTGGAAAAATGGGCCACGAATAACCAGTTGCCGTACCTGGGTTATATGAGAGGTGTGCCACGTCGGCTACATGATCAGTCTAACCATTAATTGTATATAACCTGTAGATCAACATTGAAGGCCTATGAGCTAAAAGCATCCCTTCACGCATTTGAAGTGTATCAGACGAACATTTACCGAAGATTATTTCGTTAAATGTTGTTTTTAATTACCCTAAAACATTTATGGATAATTCAAATCAATACAACACAATAGTTCTCCATAAAAAGTGTACTGGGGGGATACTGGGAACGACCCGTTCTTCAAGTGCCTGAGCATTGCGGGTCCCAACTTTTCGTTGTCTCGATCTATAGACATTCGGTAGGACTCCTTGGACGAGGGATCGGCCCGTCACAAGGCCTCTACCTGTACACAGGAAACACAACAGAGGAAAACGCGGACGAACATTCATGGCTTGAGTGGGATTCGAACCCACGGTCCCAGCGACCAAGCGGCAGAAGGCCCACGCCTCAGACCGTGCGGCCACTGATTTAAAATGTATACATATTGAATATACTCTATTGTTTCTGTCACAAATTGGTCTCTGATATGCCCCAAATACAGAAAATTTTATCATGTAAGATTTGAGGTTTTCACAACGGTGAGTATGCAGATTTCTGTCTTCAGACTACACAGTGCAACAAACCAGAAGATAGAAATCTGCAAAATTTTATCAGTTACATTGTAATACTGGATTTGCTACAGAATAAAAGCAAACTTCCTTCATTATTACCGAAGATGGCTTTATTTCCTACTTTAAAGAAACAATGCAGATTTTTCTTTAATATGACTGTTTTCTCGCTTTTAAATATAAAGCATATTGTGACCCTACTCAAGAGTTGTCTTCTTCATTATTGTTGTGTTTAAAACTGATCTTGTAAAATATAATTTATTTCAGATTCTCTGTGAGCTTATGGCTGCTGCAACCAGTGAACCAATACAGATCACAGGCCAGAAGTCATAAAATGTTGAGACCTCCTGCTTTATGAATTGAAGTTTGGGAACATGCGACTTGTATGAATTTTGTAGAATAAAAGTGTTTGCTGCACGTACTTCAGAACCTGAATTATCATCAAGAACTCCCTCTTTATCCTCAGAAATCAATGGATATCAGATAAACTAATAACATAATACATCAAATTCCTGAACTGACTGTCAGAGGTTTAACCTTTAATATTTTCCTGTAACAGCTTACATAAAATCCAGCTGGTTGTGTGTGTCACGCTACCATACAAGTGAACCAATAACCCCACCATATGTTGCAGGTTAACCAACGAGATTTCATTACACTGTGTCAGGAAAGTAGACTTGTTCCTTTTCTCATCATCTGTGTCCCTTACAAATGTCCATTTCACAGCAGTGTCAATTAGTCAATTATGTGTGTCCATTGGGGAAGCAATCAGATATGCAACTGGCTCTCCCTCTTGAAAGAATCAACAGAGATTTTGACGAGAAGGGGGTAACCGCCCCTATGTTTTTGGATGTGGCGAAAGCCTTGGACACCGCATGAGTCAAGGTCTTCTTTACGAACTATCTTGCACCCTGACCTTCAGAAACTCCGTGACGTTAGCGCAAGCTACCGAGAATTACAGTTTATAAGATAGCGTTTATTAATTGGAATTGTGTTTCGTACGCAAGGAATATTTTAACCTAACAAGAGACGATGTCTTGGGTTTACGTAATACTCCGCCCATGTTTCGCTTTATGGATGGTTGGTTGGCCATTCATCACATCTACTCTGATTATGGAGATAGATATAGTACTTGAAATGTTGGATTTTCACATGTAATTATTATTTGTCCATTGTTTCGCTTTACATTGGCATACTTATTGTACTTGTATTAGTAATAATTAGTTCTGAATACTCTGACAACAGAAGCGCAGTGGACCTGCTCTAATGGCCATGGATGACGTCACTACCTTGCAATCGGGGGTAGAACCCAGTTGACAGTCGCCATGTGGACTGTGTAGCGACGAGTGATGTGTAAAGTCAAAGCATGTTTGTTTTCTTGCAGTTTATTAAACGTTTAAACAAGTAGTATTGTTGATAGCTTCAGTGATATTAATTTGTGATCTATCGCTTTGTATTTATTCATAATTAGTGTGAAATTAACCGGTATAATGACGCAAATTCGAATGACTGATTTATTCATAATTAGTGTGAAATTAACTGGTATAATGACGCAAATTCGAGTGACTATCGTCAGTGTTGAATTATGTCTGTATAAGACTGCAACAGTGCTCACATCTTGATAAAGCAACATAATGTCACATCTAGGGCTCGTGCCAGAATCTTACGTTGCCATCTACCCTGTGAATTACTCACGACATTGGAGATCTCGTGCCGAAAATGACTTGATAATGTAAGTGTGAAGAACATTTTAAAATTGCAACGAGTTGTGAAGTAGTCAGCTTGGTTGACAGACTGCAGAAACCTGGAATCTTCATTGATGCTACACACACAGGTCAGTCAGATTTATAATTCTTTTATAATAATCTTATTTCCCCAATTCTAGTCGGTTATGAAGCCATCCCATAAGGCATTACTAACGAAAAGTACGTTTAGCTAAAACTGCCCTAAGAATAAAATCTTATGTAGGCAACGGGGAACGTGAAATTGATGTTAAGCTTTAATATGCCAGATACAAATATTGCCTACGGAATACACACATTAATATACAGAATGCCTCACCTAAATCTAGGACCTCAAACAATTTTCCCATTTTACATGTCCAAAAAAATGTTTAAACAGTGTCTAATGGGGTATACATAAAGCGATAAAATAATTATGGAATTGTTATGACGTAATCAAGGTTACGTTCTTTCCTTAAATGGCCCCGTATTTATTTTACAAGCTAGAATTATAGCCAGATTTGAGACGAGTTCACACAATACATTTGCATTTATAAACTGTTACTGAGGTGTCACACGAGAAGTATGAGAGATCAGAGCCTCAATATTGTACACTCAGATAGACACATATTATTGTTTATCAACACATATGGCACTTTAGATCGAGTACACGGTTTCGTATGATGTGGTCTTCAGTACGAGCGGAGACAAGTAGTAACAACAATTAACATCTCATGCATATCCAAATAAAATATAATAATTTGTCATTTATTGAAATAAAATATAATAACTTTCAAGTATATGTCATTTATCCACACATTAACGTAACATAACCTATTTTTAAAGCGATGTGTCCCGATAACCCACAAGTACCCGAGTGCTCAAGATGTGCACTAATGGAAAAGAGCTTGACATTACAATGCAGAAGTTCAGTGATATCACAGTAACTGTACAGTAAAAGATATTCTCATTCAAATATTTATTTCATCGCCTCATAGAGTCGATATTATCTCTTGGAAGCTCCTGGTAGGGGGAAATTGGAATGCAATGAATCGTCATTTTAGTAAACGAGTGAACGGTCTGAGGCGTGGGCCTTGGACAATGTGATCGTGGGTTCGAATCCCACTCGAGGCATGGATGTTTGTCCGCGTCTCTATGTATTGTTATGAAGGTGGTAACCACCTGTAAAACTACAGAACATCAAAATCCGGACAAGAAAAACCACATTTTTATCGCCGTGAAACCTAGAGACTTATTTAGGTCACATAGACTCTTTCCAGTTTAAACAATATCGAGAATGATCAGTGGAATGAATTGGTGGATGTTAGTAAGGTGGTGATTTTAAATTTATAAGAGTGGTAATTAATGTCTAATTAAAATGAATACTCGTTTAAAAGGCGAAGGTATTGAACAATTGAAGATAAATTTTGTATTCGGAAATAACATATTGATGGCTAATATTCGTGGTTTTTATCGACCGTAATTTTATATTTTGGCGATTATCGATTACTGTGAGTCTTAAGACTTAAGGCTTATTGATGCTTAAGTAAAGACAACAGATGGGGTAATTGCGAGAGTCAATATTATCCCTAGAATCAGCACAACGTAGCAGACGGTCTGATTCCTTTTTCTCTGTTCCGTGTTTTGGGCGACTAATTCCTCATCCTGTAAAACAGAAAAGGAAATGTCAACGTTTCTTCTATCACATAAATATGGTTTTGTTTATTAAATATTTCGCCACCAACCCAAATAATGTACTTGTCACTTTGACAAAACTCAAATTTCTATTGTCTATATAAGCACTGCGTTTTTCTGGATTTTTCCATAATTAGGCCCTTTTTAAGACGTATTTAACACTAAGTTTTAAACTGTAATTAACTACATTGCCTTTACCGTATAAAGTTATACTTAAAATTACGCAATTGAACAATTAAAAAAATGGGGTTTTAAATTTGATAACACTTGAATTCGAAAAAAACGTAGTATGAAGAGTCTCTAATATTCTGGGATGTGGGTATCATTTCTCGTTACTTTAACATATACATATATTGCAGCACAGTGACCAGAGACCATTTTCGTCATTGTACGAGGTGCTACCCAAAAGTTCGGGGAATTTGAATTTCACGCGCGAACCGGTTGTGGAATGTCCTACCGCCGCTAGATGGGACGAGCAGTACCCTTTGTGAATTAGTGTTCCAACAGCCGTGAAGGCGAGAGGCCGCGTTCTTGAGTCTCGTGCGTTTTTGTAACGTTGTGTCGTAGTGGCTCGGCGATTTTAAGCAGAAGGCAGATTTTAAGGAGCAAAGAATCTGCATCAAATTTTGCTTTAAGCTTAAAAAAACTGCTGTAGAAACCCACCGCATGCTTGTGGAAGCATTTGATGAAAATGCTATGAGTCAAAATAAAACTTTAAGGATGGACGAACGTCTGTCGACGACGATGAGCGTTCAGGACGACCATCGACAAGCACAACACCGGAAAACATCGCGAAAGTGCGAGAGGCTATGGTTGCAGAGCGTAGACGAGCAATCCATGAAGTTTTGAAGCGGTTACGGGAGCGCATTATTCGCAGACGTCCGGAAAAGTTATGATAAGGATTTTTTTATGCGAAAATTCCCTGTACTTTTAGGTAGCACTTGGTAAAAGCACTCGCAGATGGCTTCTCATGGCCTGTGCGTCTTGCAAATAAAATATATTCTTGCTGAAAAGCTACGCGTTGTAGTAGAACATGTACTTAACAATATATGAATAATTTTACTGTCACATTTATCTGGTTACCTAACCTAACCTATCCTAATCTAACCTAACCTAACATATCCCAATCTAACCTAACCTAACCACGAATATGTCTCAGCCCCTGAAGCTCAAAGTTTATTCATTGTGTTTTTTGGACTTTTCCGTTACCTGAGGAATTTGAATTGTTGTTGAATCCAACAAAACTTCACGATCTTCGTGATTCTCTCGATGCGTCCGAGAGGTGGTGTCCCACGAAGAAGCTCTGCTCCATTCTGAAGCAGGAGCTCTTACTTCATTTTCTCGCGGAAAAGGAACAGCTCGAATCGTCATGTCACGAGTACATTCTCTCTCTTGAGATGGCACAAAGTGTGCGGGTTGATTCTGCGAAGTGAACATTAAACAAAGAGGTTGAATTCCAGCGTCATACACGGTCGCCGAATTGTAATTTTTAGAACTAAATGCACGTCGTTCAATTGGTTTTAATTGTAAATAGCATCTTTCTGAGATGTTGGGTGTTTAATGCTATTGGACTGTTATGGCACAATGCATAACAACCGTTATATACTCTTACTTGAAACAGTAAGTTCAAACGTTGCCCCTCGTTCTAGCCGTGCAGCCTGGGACAGAAATTGAAATGCAGTCAGGTTCGACTATGTGACTGTTCGGACTAACTTCCTGTTTTAGTGGAAGTATAATTCAGCCACACCAAATAATTGTTACGTAATTATGTTGAACTGCAGGAATCCAGTTTACATTTAAATGTGCGATGGACTGTCGCTTGTCAGACTTAAAGAACACTTTTCACACAGATTACGAAGAACTGAGAATCCAATTTTCCATAAACAGTTTGCTGAACTGTTTCTTATTTTCACAAATACAATTTTTCTACACTCACACATACTGTACTTCCTACAACGTCACAATTCTATTATTAATTTCGTGTCTGTATGTGGCATTTCGCTCGAAACATTTAAACATTTGACTTTTCTTCTCCAAGAATTACATTCGAAATCTTTTAATTTAACAGATAACTCGCAAAGTGTGGGAGTCCCTTCCATGATACATGGTAAGCTCGACCGCTGAAGAAATGGTTCACTTTACGACTGCAGAGCTGTACTGTGGAGCTTTTAGTACTAATGAAAGCACAAAACAACGAGGGATATTATTTGGAGATTACAGTATGAATTGTGTTGATGCTAGTCTGTTACTTTTCGCCATTTACCCATAAATACGATAAAAAAGATTGCAAGGCAGATCACACGCAAATCTAAAAAAAATTAAAATACTTCATGCGTTCGGTCTGTCCAGCGGTTGCTAGGTGACCATAGATCGACACCGTATAATACACTAAAAGAGATTAATGTCCACAGCTTTATCCGCGTCTAGGAAACCATACACGATTTACTGTACTATATCTGGTTTTATATCCGTTTTGTACTTCCATGACCAACAGAGACATTTCTACGGCTCTGTTAGCAAATTATTGCTCAATATCTGCAAAGTAATTGGACATATTTAGAGGTCGTGATCTTACGAGGTGCGATCGGAAAGTTTCCAGACTGTGTCAATAGAGTGCGAACCGGATGTAGTACGAGCTTCTGCCGCTAGGGGGTGCGGCCTACATTCATAGTGAATCAGTGTGCCAGCCGGCATCATCGAATTAGCATTTGTTTCTTAGTTACGGGCGTTTTGGTAGTGCATTACACCGACCCTCCTGCGATTTCGGAATGGCGTGTGCATCAAATTTTGCCAAAGACTCGCCAAAACGGCTACGGAAACCTGTGAAATGCTAAAGCAAGCATTTGGGGAGTCCGCAAACTTTTGTGTGGCATTCACGTTTTAAAAATGGCCGAACCTCTGTCGATGATGACGAGCGTTCTGGACGACCATCTTCGAGCACAACGCCCGAAAATGTTACGAAGATTCGGCAGGCCCTTCACGAAGATCGACGTCGTACCATCAACGACTTGTGCGACATTGTTGGGATAGGCTATGGGACCTGTGAGCTGATTCTAAAGGAAGAACTCCACATGCGACGCATCCTGTCTGAGGCCCAGAAGCAGAATCGACTTCTCGTTTGTCAGGAGCTCAAAGATCTTGCAAGAACCGACCCCACCTTCCTTTCTAAGCTCCGTGTGACTTCTTCCTCTTTCCAAAGATGAAAATTCAGCTAAAGGTAAGGAGATTTGAGACGATAGAAGAGATTGAGGCAGAATCGCAGATGGTGCTTGACAGGCTGACAAAGAAAGATTTCCAGGGATGCTTCCAGGCTTGGCAGCGGCGCTGGGATCGTTGTGTTCACTCCCAGGGGAACTACTTCGAGGGTGATGGATGAATTTAATACCTGAGATAAGTGTACGGGTTTTTATAGGCGCAGTCTGGAAACTTTCCGATCGCACCTCGTACTACAGCGTTATACGTCGTATGTCACAGTGCAGTCCATGAAGGTTCGAGTGAGTGCCTTTAGCGTACCATGGACTTGTTCGATACGTGAGGAATTTGGAGTCTTGTTATATCCAGCACAATATCTCGACGTCGTCCGTTACTCTGGTCTTGTGTGCGAGAGACAATGTCCCACGAAGAAGCACTACTCCATCTTGTACCAGGATCTGTCACCTGGTGTTCTGTTGGAGCAGGGGTGTCCGAAATCGTCATGTTAGGTGACACGACGTGTGTGGATTGATTCTGCTAAGTATAAATTAAGCATTGAAGCCGCATTATAATCTTTTGGCTCTTAAAAATGGACATTGTTTAATTGATTTCAATTGTGCTTGACTTCTATGCAGTCCCGTATAATAAACCACTTTTTTTTTGAAAACATCAGTGTTTACTCAGTACAACAGAAGGACTGATTTATTTCTTACTTTCTGATTTCCATTGTTCCATAGAGATAGATAGTTCCTGTAACTCCTAAGTGGAGCATAGGGCATCCTTTCGGAGGTTTCATAGTCTTTAAAGCGTGCTTTTACGAGTAGTGAGTGACTAGCCTACTCCTTATTTGACTTCCAGAGCCATCTAGCAATGAAGCAGTGAATTAGGAGAGACTTTGGTGAGAAATGGCCGCTGAATTTTGCTTACGAAACATCTTGTTCATGCTCGTAAGGTTCTTTTACATGCCGTAAATCTACGAAATGGGGCGGTCGGCTTTATTTCCCCTCTGAAGGAATTTGTGTGGATTTTTATCACCCTGGAAAAATCTATCGACCTCGGCCGGGATTGAACCCGTGACCCTTGGGTCCGGTGGCGAGCACGCTAACCACTAGTCCACCGAGGGCGACGTCTTCATTCCATAGCTTAATTTTTAACGGAACTGTATTACATTACAATGTTTTTTTACACAGGCTGGAAAAATCAAACGAGCAACTAGCTCTTAGTCGGTTAATTCTCGGGATACGAAGTTCTTGAAAGGAGATCAGTACAAGGGACCTTAGTAGGTCATACGGGGGTTGCAAAACTGGAGTTTGAAGACATTGAACGTTCTACATGTCACTTCTTCGCCCTTGTCGGTTATGAATCTGTGAATACGTAACTTACCAGGAATCCCCTCATACGATAATTTCTCTGTGCTTATACAGGCATACCTCGTTTTATTGCGCTTCGCAGATATTGCTTTTTTTTCAAATTGTGGCAACCCTGCGTCGAGCAAGTCTATCGGCGTCATTATTTTTCCAAAAGCAAATGCTCACTTCGTGTCTCTGTGACACATTTTGGTAATTCTCGCAGTTTTTTGAGACATAATGCTATTGCTCACTTAATAGACTTCAATATAGTCTAAACATAACTTTAATATGCACTGGGAAACCAAAAAAATAGTGTGACTCGCTTTATTGCGGTGGTCTGAAACCGAACCCGCAATATCTCCGAGGTATGACTGTATTGCTCTGAGGAATGTGGAGGTCGACGGTGGAATATGAATTTCGTACTGACATCAATAACAATAGAAAAGAAATTGTTTACTTCTTATGTTCGAAACTCACTACCGTGTCGGCCAGGATACGTTCAAACATTATTTTCCATTTGGAATCCCAGGCGTCTCGATTTGGAACGACGTTTCGGAAGGGCATCCCAGTCGCTTCGGCCAGACGTCGCCATTCATATACTGCAAACATCATAAAAGGAACCGAATTCTTCCTGAGAAGCTGATAGTGACTCTTTTGGTGCACAAAGTCCACAGTTTTCTTCTGGAAAACTATGTTGTGTCACCATGCACTGGATCCTGTCCTAAGGCACTTGTGAGACCTGAACCCAGGTCTCAAAGTGACCTCTTCGTTCAGTTTACCCATCTAAAATTTTATATTAATTTCTTCATCTCCATTGCGTGCTACATATACGCCCAATTCATTCCCAAGGAATTGTGCCAAATGTCGAAGGAGATTTTAAAAACTGGTATAAATTTCGCCAAAAAAAGGCTGTCCTTGATCGTACAAAAATGCTTCCGAGTCGACGTACCTGTGAATACGCCGAGAGAAATCCCGGGCTCAGCGTTCAGCCGACGGAGCCCGTCACGGTGAATTTCCTCCGGGTGTCTAAAGAGACAAGTAAACCGTATATACACTGTGCATTGGGGTCTCGTTCTGGAGAACTCTATGATGAAGTTGGCACAGTTGGCACACGGAGAATATGACAAGAACAGAGTCACAATTCTAAAACACAGAAACACTTGTTACAGCGTGTGGCAATCTCTCCTTTGCAAGTTTGTTCCCTGTTTGAGCATAGCCCAATGGAGTCCTAGCACACTTTCCCTTGATAATCAGATACGAGTTGGCTTTTGAAATGAGAATTTATTGATTATTCAGCATTAAATATCATATATCATTCTCTACGAGTTGGTCTGTATTATGTTTGTGGATTGGGGTATACATTTATCCCTATCGGCCGTCACTAAGGCCGGGCGCAAACGGAGCCACTACCCACCGCCACCTGTGGCTAAACACGGCCACTACGAACGCCGTGTCTGCGCTGAGTCTATTAAAACTGCATACAAAATACAGACCGCAGCTTGTGGCAGTCACCGGTAGAGGTGGCTAGTGGCTATGTTTGCGCCCGGCCTAAGTCATGTGGCCATACACAGATTCAAGTAGTCTTACTACTATTTGTGAAAACATTAGTGTCCAGCCAAACATTAATCGCCTGTACGAACATAATCCCGCAGTTATAAACAAGCCCTACTGGAAATAAACTTCCGATATGATATTTGAGATTTTTACAATGGCTAAAACGTTAATTGTGTTATTCTGGGTTGTAACGCCATGTAAATGGTAGTAAAGTTTAGGAGAAACTTGTCTCCTGCAGATGGGAGATCACGTCTTTGTCGGATTGTGTTGACGTTTCATCTGAGAAACTGTTCAACTGATTTCAATCAGATTTGCCTGACGAGTTTAATTTTCCTCGATTTTAAGTCGCGCCTTCAAGTTTTTCATAGGTTTTCAGGAGAAAGATGCCATGTTGATTCTTAGACGCAACCAAATGTTCGTCGCACCCAGATTTCAGAAATTTTAAAATGTGAAAAAATTATGTCATAAAATCGAGTAAATATGTTATTATTTAATTTCTTCTGAAGTGGCTTGCACAAAGGAGTTTTGTATGCCATAACATATACAAGTACATTTCAAGAACTCTGATCTGTAACTTTGTTTTTCTTTCGTGTATATTTACAAAAGGAAATAAATATGTCGCCCCTCTGCAGTTGTCATTAATTTTCTCAACAGCAACATTAATGACTACGGTAGGGTCCACATTACTTGCGATTGCTTGTGGGTTGTTGACGCGGGGCGAAGACGAAGGTGATAACTGCGCGCGCACCTCCACGCTTTATCTGTCCGTTCAATAACACGGTGGTCTAGCGGTTAGAACGCTGGCCTTGTAATCCTGGGGTCTCGTGTTCGATTCCCGGCGGTGCCCGAATTTATAACTTGTGTTGGGCAAGGCCGTGGTCTAGGCAACACGGAGTTTTCCTCCGTGGCATCCCAACAATTACTCCATTCACACACAGAAGAAGGCAATGGCAAACCACTTCTGGATCATCTGCCAAGAACGTATATGAACAGGTCCCAGTCCGAGAAAAGGATGGAAGGATCCTGTTCATATGGACCTGTCGCCAGACAGAACACTACAAATAAAATTAAAAAAAATCAGAACGAAGGTGAAACTGTATTTCAATTGTTAACAGTTGTTTTTGTATATTGTAGACATTTCTAGACAAAGAAAATATTGTTATAGGTAAATTTAAATATTTGTAGAAGGAAAAATCTCCATTAATATTCCTATCCTTCCCCGATGAATGTTTTCACAGTAGTTTTACCCACTCCGCTGAAAATTCCCTTCACAGCGGAGCCTTCCAGCAACACAACTAACAATAAAGACAATTTTTTAAGCAGCCATCATGGTACCTGGCCGTTCCGTGCACAGACCAGGCCGTGCCGAGTGACACCTATACACAGCACCAGGGAACGCAACTAGCAAGCAAGCTGATCCGTATAGAACGTGTGTGCGAGACGAAATACTGAGTCAGCTTAGAGATTAGGTGAAGGACAGAAGTTTTACCTTCAACACAGCGTCTAGATCATCTTCGACGCCCATCTAGCTACTACAAAGTGTGCCAGCTGGATTGTTGAACCTAACCAACCCGCTCCCTTCTGCATGGCGTGAAGTTTGGTTAAGTACGAAGATCTCGATCTTAATGAGTTTAACATCAATACTTTTGATCACTTTTGCAACAACAGATTTTTACTGGAGTAAGTGGAAATCCTGGAGAGTTTTGAAATGTGGTTGTTGGAGAAGAATAGAGAAGATCAGGTGGACGGATCGAGTGACCAACGAAGAAGTATTGAGGAGAGTCAACGAGCAAAGAAGCATTCTGCAGGCGATTACACGAAGGAAAGCTAACTGGCAGGGACATATTATGAGAAGGAATGGAATACTGAGTGATATCATCGAAGGCCAGGTTGAAGGAAAGCGAGGACTAGGAAGAAGACTGATGCAGCTAACCGACGACCTTAAACAAGGAAAGAAGATGACGTTATAGGAATTAAAACGAGAAGCCGAGAATAGGGACAACTGGAGAGCTCTTTTTGGGCAGAGCAATGGACCTGTCGTAAGACAGAACACTTAATAATAATAATAATAATAATAATAATAATAATAATAATAATAATAATAATAATAATAATAATAATAAGTGGAAATCAAGCCCAAGGACGGAGTAGAGCCTTTTGCTCTCAAAATGACCACGAACCTTGTTCGATACCCCAGGCACAGCTCCCTCGCCTTGATGTTGCGCAGAACCTTGATTTCTGCGTGTGGACCGGGCAGATGACTGTAACTGATTTCCCAGAACTGTTCAGCCGTGGCTGTTTCGTTGAACACTACGTGGCACAGTGTTATGCATTTCTTGAGGAATTTAGGACGACCGTTGATGTAGAAGGCTGTCCATATGTCCTTGGATGTGGATACAATTTTTCCTGGTTTTGTAATTCTCTTGTCTTTTGGTTGTTGTCCAAATCCTCTTCCAGAGTACGATACGAACCGTTTGCATTGTGATAAAGGGCGAGCTGGTTTTATTTTGGGGTGAGCTAATTTCTTCTGACGCATTTTTTACTGAAACCCAGACACATGTCATATTGATGTTTTATTACAGGATAACACTAAACTACATATTGTCCATGCGGCTAATATTACTAAAATTACCACATGAATTTTTTGTACGAATTATTTAAAGAATACGTCTCAGTTTAAGTGGTGAGACCGTAATGCACCGACCTACTTAAATCCTTGTGAGACAACCACAAAACCAACAATTCTCATAGCTAAAGGGGGGGAAAAAAAATTAATTTCCCGCATATCATATGAATTTATTAAAAGAACGTTTCTTTCCTAGTAAAACACCCACCAGTTAATCGATTCTTGCATCCAGCCATACAAATATCCGTTCATCGAATGATCCAGTGATTTATTTTACATCAAAATGCCCATGTACCAGGACACTGATCCATTCGTTCCGTCTATTCTGTCACCCATAACAATCGTCCGTCCGTTAGTCCACAAATTTATGGATCACTGGCACACCCGGTATATACCTGCATCTATCCATCTGACGCCAAGACCTCAGTTATAACGCGCGTAATCTGTTTGGGGGTTAAATTAAGGATGCGTAAATTGTTCCATTGCGAACACACACACAATAGAACGGTTGGACATACCCGGTTAAACCCGCAGGCTTGCTTGTTTTTCCTCAGGCGTTCCTCTTCGAGCCTAAGTTTTTCGTCACGCCTATAAGCCTATTCCCCTTTCATTCTTACCAATGAAGTTGACACGACGAATTCAACGGATGATTTACTGATAAATCCACGTATTCACGCAGTGCGCCAGATACTGGCTTTATATCAATCTCCTTTACCGAGGACCCTTATCAAGATACGAAAGCTGGGAGCAATTGCGCATTTTGATAACGCCCTCGTCTAATCATTCAAAGCCTTCAAGGTGATAAGGTTTCAATTTGATTTCGGTTTCCACAGTTGGCTAACTCCGAATTTCTCTTTACGTAAACTTTTCTGGCTTGACAAATGCTTCGCCAATTCCGAATCAAACCATCCCACAATATTTATTATATATATTATTTAATTTACAATTAAATAAATTGGGCAGATTTTATGGAAGCAGGATGTTAATTATCGTATTTACAAGAGTCTGCCATTGGTTTTTATCCTAAGGGGGAGGGGTTGAATCCAGTCTACAAACTACAGTTCGATAACTTTTAATATTATCTTCACGTATATTGCCAGGTCTTCCAAGTAACTTCTTCCCTTTTGGATTTAAGACGAAAATGTTGTATGCATAATTATTCCTTTCATTCTCCTTGATTTGATCGACGTTATAATATTTAGTGAATTTAACAAATTATGGGGACCCCTCATTATAAAATAAAATTCAAAGCAAAGGATCGAAATACTATTCATGGATGAATTATTAAATCAGATAAATATGTGCTCTCATCGGCTTGTATTTTGCTACATCCCATGACCACTCTGACCCAAAACTATGTTTTTGTCACCATCTTCATGAAGCAAGAAGTTTTAGGCTCTTATTCGGGCCTGGTTCTTTATAGGTGTGAGATTCAGTGTCTGTTTCTGAAGGAATAGCATGGCAACAGATTGCTAAGACGAATATATTAAACTAAGAGTGGTCTAGCGGTTAGAACGCTGGGCTTGTAATCCTGGGGTCTCGGGTTCGATTCCCGGTGGTGCCCGAATTTATAACTTGTGTTGGGCAAGGCCGTGGTCTAGGCAACACGGAGTTTTCCTCCGTGGCATCCCAACAATTACTCCATTCACACACAGAAGAAGGCAATGGCAAACCACTTCTGGATCATCTGCCAAGAACGTATATGAACAGGTCCCAGTCCGAGAAGAGGATGGAAGGATCCTGTTCATATGGACCTGTCGTCAGACAGAACACTAAATAAATAAAATAATGAATGTTAAATGAGTCAAGAAATATGAGACAAACGAGGTTTTCAGTACGCATAAGAGTTCACTTGGGAGATCTATGAGCAGAATTCAGGATAATATTAAAACGGTTGTTGGAGAAATGAATATTTGAAGTGGATTGGACTGGTCCTGCGCGCTTTTAAAACACGACGACGAACTTTAAGGTTCAAGAATAGAATTCAGTTTGTTTACACCAAATGAGTAATTATTATCTTCCCAGTACAAATTTTCGGTAATTAGTTTGAAGTGAATTAGTACCAGTTAACAAACGTAGAGATAAATCAAAATTAATAATAAACGGAAATACAAAAACTAAACGCCTGTGAATGTCGACGAACAGGGCTGGAAACATTTGAATAATTTGGCATGTTTTCTTTGTAAAGGAAATTCACTACGTGTACAACAAAATTATATTAAATTTTCGAACGCATCAGGACTCAAATTCGTTAATTCAGTATTTCTAAAATGATGGTCGTAAATATTTAATCAAACGCGAGGAATAAATAAACAGACTGGGGTTGAACTACGTCCTGTTGCCAGTAGAGCGGTCTAAGCTATTGTTAAACACTTGCGATATGTCACTTCTTATTAAACGTATGTAATTTTCTTTTGTTATTGCAAAGGTTCCATTTTGTTATGGCTGCCATTTCGTAATCTCACAGATGACAATATTGAACAGCGATTGGCATAAAAGGCATGTCACTGGTGTTGTCTAGGCCAGTGGTATTCAACCTTTTTTGTTCGCGTACCCCCAGATATAATTTCTCTTCAACTTTGTACCCCCAAAGTTGTTGGTGTATAATTCAAGTTATACATAGTATATAATCTACATCTAAAATAAATTAAATAAATTACATTACTGATTACTCAGTGTTTATCATAAAATAATATATTTTTTTTAAATTTCACGTACCCACTAAGATGTCTTCGCGTACCCCAGGTTGAAAACCACTGGTTATGCGAGGAAACATTCTACACGGCGTGGTATGTAAACTAACATTTTTTTACTGTCTAGATTAGTTTTATTAACAAAGAACAGTTTAGTATAATTATCATATAATAATTTTCTGATAATTATTGTAATAAATACATTTTTAAAAAGTTATTTATTTAAATCTATACGTTTGTGACAGCGTACCCCAGGTTGAAAACCACTGGTTATGCGAGGAAACATTCTACACGGCGTGGTATGTAAACTAACATTTTTTTACTGTCTAGATTAGTTTTATTAACAAAGAACAGTTTAGTATAATTATCATATAATAATTTTCTGATAATTATTGTAATAAATACATTTTTAAAAAGTTATTTATTTAAATCTATACGTTTGTGACATCGTTTTATAAGGAACTCTATCTATTGGCGACTTTAAGACATTTTTAATGAATTGTGACGTTCATTATAGGGAATGTTCGTAAATCGAGCGTTCGTAAACCGAGAGTTGCCTGTAATCAATTTCTCTTGTCGAGAAAAATGTTCTCGAAGAAACATTGATTTCTTTTTGCCAAAAAAAGTTTTAAAAAATGTGTGTCATTTTCAGTAATGGAGCGCCTAGCTGAAGGGCTGTGTCTTAATGCATCTGCTCACATTGTAACTAGAAATAATAATAGTACATAATAATAATTAACAAAAGTAATTGAAATTATTATAGAAGCAACTGTAACCGTCTCCAAGTCACTCAAAAAATATTTGGCCAACACTCCGGGCGAACATGACATTAGGGAAATTCAGAAAACCGCCATTCTAGGATCATTATTCGTCATTCGAAAGACGCTGTCGTAAAATATATAGTCATCTCTCATAATAAAATTATATAATACATGTAACACGTATTAAAAAAATTATTTTCGAAAATAGCTGCTGCCCTGTGTACCTCAGGGACAAGATTTGTCTCGGGTACATAGAAGTAAATACCCTATAAAGTGGTGAATAGATGGAATAATAATTCAATTCAATTCAATTCTTTATATAATATAATAATAATAATAATAATAATATGAAATACAAACATATTAGTGACCTGTAATACTACAACGAATGAAGAAACAATATAAATGGACAAGAACATCATAAGAAAATGAAGACTAAAAATCATTAAAAATCAGTAATTCAGTTAAAAAGTTTATAACATAACACCTGATGATGGCTATATATAGCCGAAACATGTCGTGTAAGTTCCACATGTAAATCGAGTACTCGATAGGGAACGTTAAATGATATTTTAATCTTTTAATAATATTATATTTGTGATTGACGGCTAATTTTAATATATTTTTAATACTATATAAATCACAATATGACGCATCTACAATATCATATAATATATAATAATAATAACCTAAGTATAGAAATTTATGCACCACCAGTGCTAATATAAGCAAATAAATAGTTTATAATTTTAATATAAAATAATCATAATCTGCATTGATATCACCATTATCATAATTAATTACATGAGAGTTCTTCCTACCCAATATCAGAGTTTGGTACTTAACTTCGCGTTAGGAAGTTATGGTTCCGGCAATCAGCTGCATTGCCTAGTATCGTACGTGGTTTTCTTCAGTCCATCTAGACAGATACTGGAATAATTCCGTAAAGTATCCCACAGGAGTTTCCTTCCAGATCCTATTCCATTCATCAATCAGTAATTCGAATCTTATCACTCACACAGTTGGAACGGTGTCGTTAAATAAACTAAGAGGCTGTTGTTTTAGGTACACAGACAGTAAACAAACCGAAACACCACATAAACTGTCACTGAAGTTTGTTACAGAGCCATTTCTGTAGTGAAATGTAATGGTTACAGTTGAAGGCTAAACAGATTAGGCTTCCGGTCGATCTAACTCTGTTTTCAGGCAACAGCGCGTTGCTACGTACGCGACAATCAGTTGGACTCACGAAGTACACTCTGACTGTAATATCAATTCACATAGCGTGCTACATTCTGAGCTTTGACATTTCGGTTTGTCCGTTGGTGAGAAAGAGAGGAGTTATTAAAAGTAGCAAAGAGAACATAACCTTCAAACTGTCTTGTCAGCTGTAGACGAACACAAATATTTTTCGCATATCTGCGATGTTTTAGGTGTTGTAAACCTTTGGCATACGAGGTGAGATCGGAAAGTTTCCAGACTGCGCGTATAAAAACCCGTACACTTATCTCAGGTATTAAATTCATCCATCACCCTCGAAGTAGCTCCCCTGGGAGTGAACACAACGATCCCAGCGCCGCTGCCAAGCCTGGAAATCTTTCTTTGTCAGCCTGTCAAGCACCATCTGCGATTCTGCCTGAATCTCTTCTATCGTCTCAAATCTCCTTCCCTTTAGCTGAATTTTCATCTTTGGGAAGAGGAAGAAGTCACACAGAGCTTAGAAAGGAAGTTGGGGTCGGTTCTTGCAAGATCTTGGAGCTCCTGACAAACGAGAAGTCGATTCTGCTTCTAGTCCTCTGACAGGATGCGTCGCATGTGGAGTTCATCCTTTAGAATCAGCTGACAGGTCCCATAGCCTATCCCAAAAATGTCGCACAAGTCGTTGATGGTACGACGTCGATCTTCGTAACATTTTCGGGCGTTGCGCTCGAAGATGGTCGTCCAGAACGCTCGGCATCATCGACAGAGGTTCGGCCATTTTTAAAACGTGAATGCCACACAAAAGTTTGTGCACGACCCATTGCGGACTCCCCAAATGCTTGCTTTAGCATTTCATAGGTTTCCGTAGCCGTTTTGGCGAGTCTTTGGCAAAATTTGATGCACACGCCATTCCGAAAGCGCAGGAGGGTCGCACGAGCCGCCACTGTATATAAGGCTTCAGATTTGAACGGATTCTTTTTAAAAGGTGTCTTCAGTTAAGCACCACGCAATGATCAATGGTGCGTACTCTTAACATTTGTTTCATTTCGCATTCAGAGAGATGCAATTATTTTTATGTTTCTAACAGCTGTGGTACAGTTTTGAACGTGGACACTGTATTTTGTGAAAGAGAACTCAATTTTGCAATCGATTGTTTGTATTTGTGAAGAACGAATTCATGAAAATGCCACGTAATGTATTGTTAATTACCTCTGTCAATGGTAGGTGCTTATCTAAAGCAAATGAACATACAATTCAATAAAAAATGTAAAATCTTGGAAAAATGTAATCGCATTTCAGGTTTAGCGTAACTCCAGAACGACGTTTCCGTTTAAAGTCGACTTTATTACCAAATACAATAATTTCCATGCATGTTTTTTTTACTGAATCAGTGTGGATTTTTTTAATTTAACAAAGTACACAGGACTGGAGATAATACTTAAATTGTATTGCCACAATAACTTTTCAGATACGAAAATTCCCCTTTTACAGTCCGACGCTGGGATAATTATCTTAAAAGAGGCCAGTCCTCTTGTTTATAGTAAAGAAATTCGTGAGATTTCAGGTCAGATTAAGAACTTACCGACAAATCTTACGCCCTTCCCAAAATAATATGAGCAATCGATAAATTAGCAACCAGCGATTATGGAGGCAGCAAAGCTCTCGTTCCATTTGCCGTTTAGTTTTTGTTTTTAAATATCTGAAACCGCCGAGATAATTTTTGTTCACACTGTGTTAAACGAAGTACTGCTCAGGGTATCCAAGTGCATGAACGTGATCACAGCAACTTTCCTCTCTTTTATATCTTTCTCTCTGCTACTGCTGATGTGCGTAATAGGGAACAAAGCGAAGTGGAGTCCCTGTGTCGAAATGCTGAACTACAAGAAGCGACGTGTGGTTGTGACGTCAGACATAGGTATCACGCGGGCTGCATTCCTATGAGGAAAGTGTTGGCTCATGTTTACAGCCCCGGGATGGCGTCTTTTCAGCGTCGGCTGCTCCATCTGTCCGCGTCGCAGACGTACGAACAGACGCAGGGTGAAGAAGTACAGTACCTCGACGCCACTCATAAAACTACATCCAAGAAACAGGCTGAAGATTCCGCCAAGCGACGCTGCGAACAGACAATTGCTGATGTTGATACAGTTCAATTTAGGCGTCAATTCGTCCTACTTTTTTTGCGCGGACGATCGGGTAGTATTCGAAATAAGACATGCTGACAGACTTACTTCCACAACATCCCGATAGTGTTTTTGTTTTGTGCGCGTTGTGTTTTGTTTCTGGGTGTAAAGTATTTCTCATACTCACATAGCAGATCGGTCCAGGAATTGATGACGTCACGGCGAGTGCGTATGGACACGTGATTGCCGAAGTAGAAGTGAAATAACGTTCTTCCAGTCACATTCGTGATGTTTGTGCTGAAAGACAAAACCTTGATGTTCTTTTGTTACATTCTTTATGGCTTTTGAGTTATGAATCATGACTCAGAAGACGACAATCCAAATTTATACTGTCCTGAAAATATTTATACTGTCCTGAAAATGTTTATGTGCTTCACGGGACCTTGGGGAAATGGGTGATGGAGACGTGGATTGGATTTGAGATTTTCCCGGAGATTTAAACATTTACTTGACAGAGGACGTCGGGTGTTTCCGTACCAAATGACTGTACGCGATCCCTTGTGGTAAACATGCCAACGTCGACTACTGGGGGGAGGCGGGGTGCAAGGTGATAAGCACTGCGCGCGCACCTCCACGCTTTTCCTATCCGTTTCAGTTCCTGTTGAACAATGGAGTGAGAAGGACGGTCGGTTTTTTTGGAATCAGCGATCATGCTGCCTGGCCGTTCCGTGCACAGACCAGGCCGTGCCGAGTGACACCGCAAGTAAACTGGTCAGTCAGTACTTGCGCACACGAACGTTCAATATGAACTACATCAATGGGGAAAACTAAATTTGTTGAAACTTGACATCTTCGTACTATGTGCTTATCGTTCTAAACAAAGAACAGAACAGTCCGCTGGTTCACTCACGGTATTTACTCACAAAAAGGGGGTTATTTGGAACTCCTTGGCCTTGAAATCTCCAGAGGATGCCTGAACGTCGTAGTCCACGTTGTTGCAGAGTGGCGGGCAGTCGCAGGGCGTAGCGTCGGAGCCCATCCTGTCTGGAACAGACATTGAACTTGTAGCAGGCAGGAAGCAGTTACCATTCGGTGCTCCTGAAGACGATGGAAATCGAAGCTTGTACTTACAGTAGTATCGCTTAAGACACGGTAGGTCATTGAGGTCACACAGACGAATTGCCCCTGCAACATACAAAGAACATCGTATTATAAAGATACACCACACATATTTCAGTCACTTATTGTCATTAATAATTCATCTGCTGAATAGCATTAGCTTCTTCTGTTACGTATTTTAATGTTTGTGAAGCAATTCGATATAATTTGTTGTGTAATAAGCCTGTATTTTAAAACTGTTTTAATATCGCCTGACGAAACAAGCTGGAGTAACAATAAAGTTCTTGTGTTCGCGTGGTACGAGGTTCGAATCTCACACACAAACTTAGAATTCATTATCATATTTCCATATTTTCATATTAAACCTTTTACCTACGCAGTTGAAACGGCAGTGATGTATCAGTGATGTTAATCGGTGGGGTTTAAGAATGATAAAATTATATTATTTTCGGAAAATGGACTTGTCTGGGTTGAAGTGGCGCACTGGAAACTTTTTTTTAAGTGTTCCCAGAAACACCTTGGTTAAAACAAACGAACTACGTGGCATGTACTGACGCAAGAATGTGCCATAGCACTGTCATGCACTTAACCACTTGCCTGTGTTATGGTAGTAGAAATGGCTGCAGTTACAGTAGTGAATCGTGTAATCCATCCGGCATTCAGTAATGCAGTTGATTTCGCTGTAAACCGGGAAGTATTTGAGCTTCATTTCAGACTCAAATACACATTTTCTGGCGCTAGGGTCGAGTTGTCGTACCGCCTCGGTGCAGTATCCAGATGTAGGCGTCACCCTAAACAGCAGCTCGCGACCAACTGGTAGAACTTTCTCAGTGGCCGTGTCGTCTGGGAAGTCGTCAGATCCGTGAACCAGCATCTGCGCAAGACAGTTCCATAGCTGCGTATAGCTCGTTCGGCACGACACGACACATGACCTTGAGATGCGCAGAAGCTAACGTTTTCTATATTTGTATGCAGGAGAACGCTCGACTAGGCGAGTGAACATATTATGAATATCGAAGAATATTTTACGATTGTAACGCAAGATTGTATGATAAAATGAAGGCTTACCTCCATCGGCCATATTTAAAAAAAATATTTTCCACGTGTCATGATACGTTTGCAAAAACATCAACAGAAGGCTCACAAAAACAAACTACAAAATATAAAAACAAGTGAATTATAACTGTAGAAAGAACGTCTCAGAACTTTCTGTAGCGGAAAGGCATTTGTGAGACGTAGTAAGGGGCTCACCCTGATTCCGACGGAGAACATGGTGGCCACAAAGTAATCGTGAGCTGCAGGGTCCACTAGGACGGTGAGGCCCATCCGGTGGCTGTAATAGCGAGTGTATCGCACCTCGTTCTGCGCAGGCACGCTCAGCGTCTTCCTGCCGTCGTTTCTGCGAAATGGAATAACAGACACGACGTTTTATTTCTAAGAATTTAAAGATTAAAATATACAGAACAATAATTTTGCCTGTTGTTTTGTATGGGTGCGAAACATGGTTTCTCACTCTGAGGGAGGAACACAGATTGCAGGTAATAGGGTGTTGAGGAGGATATTTGGGCCTAAGAGAGAAGACGATGGGGCATGGAGAAAACTGCATAATGATGAGCTTAAAAATCTGTTTCCTCCCCCAATATTGTCAGGGTGATTAAGTCGAGAAGAATGAGATGGGCGGGGCATGTAGCGCGCATGGATGGGACAAGAGGTGTGCACCGGGTATTGGTTGGGAAGCCTGAGGGGAAGAGATCGCTGGGGAGACCTAGACGTCGATGGGAGGATAATCTCAGGTGGAATCTATGAGAAATAGGAGTTGAAGGAGACTGGATTTTGTTGGCCCAGGACAGGGTCCGGTGGAGTGCTTTGGTTAGTTCGGTGATGAACCTTCGGGTTCCGTAAGCCATCTGGTTGGTTGGGTCCGCTATTTGGGAAGCCTGAGGGGAAGAGACCGCTGGGGAGACCTAGACGTAGATGGAAGGATAATCTCAGGCGGGATCTATGGGAGATAGGAGTTGAAGGAGACTGGATTTTGTTGGCCCAGGACAGGGTCCGGTGGAGAGCTCTGGTTAATTCGGTGATGAACCTTCGGGTTTGGTAAGCCATCTGGTTAGTAGTGCAGCGCCTCATACCACTGGCAAGATCAGAGAATGTAGCGGAAAATAGAAATAGTTTATTCTTCAACAATTCACTTCAAATCAATTTAATAAAATGTTAACACCACTTAATGATGTTCTTTTAATCTTGTTCTAAGACATGCAGATTTCAAGGTAAGTACTACTTACGTCAGCGTTTCGACAACTCCGCGGTAGTTGAAGGAGCAGCAGAATCCATCGTATGATTTCCTCTCTGTGAACAGCTCGGAGCAGTTGAGAATGCTACCCTCCCACATGCAACGCACCAAGAGTTCCTCACAGCTCTGCCCCAGCTGAAGTCGGAAAATCAGTTTAAACAAAATAATTATTTAGAAATTTCCGTCTGAGTAAGAAAACTGATAATTTATAAGAAACCGTGTTTAATCTCTAATCTCATAAGGACACTTTAAAAAACAGACTTGTTTTGCATAACTTTCGAAATATCCAACCCTTTTTCGAGGTTTGGACATTTTTTAATAGGGCTTAATCATATTAGGTTTCTGGTGATCATAAATATTGCCATAGTAAACTATAAATTTTATATTATTATACAGTAACCATTTTATTAAAAGATCAGTATTGTTTCCTTAAAGAATAAAATCCTTGTTAATAAAAATTGAACTCGGTTTTTACCCCCAAGATACGTTAATAATATTAATCTGCACGTGGATATTTGGGGAAATAATCTCGGTTTTTGCTGTGAGACGAAATATTTCATCTAGTTAGGAATTTCCCTGGCTTTTATGAAACAGCACGAGCCATTACCTTGTTCGTAATGACACACCTGCCCCATTTCCAAAATCGTTCTTAATTTACGTCTAATTCTCCCCAGTGATCTCTTCCCTTCCGACCAAAACCTTACATGCCTTTATCATCTCTCTCGTATCATCCTCCTTGATCTGATGGTCTTAATAATACCGCGAAACTTCTATTATGTGCCCTGTTGGGTACACGCTCCTTAGAAACAAAGACCTACCATACGCATCAGATCCCTCACAGTGTACTTGTGGTCGTCGATGATCTTCTGTAACTCTGCTATTTCGTCTTTACTGAATTGCGAAATACGCTCAGGATTTGGATCTATGAGCTCCCCCAGAACGGACAGTCTCTGGAGGGCGTCCTCACTTGACATGTGTTCCGGCAGACTCCTGGAATCACACAAACAGACAAAACGTATTCTGTCGTCCGCACATTAACCGTGAAGACAAAGTGACGGATGAACGGACGATGGCTCGTAGAACAGAAGCCTTGTTGAAGAGTTTACAATCGCGTAAGGACTCTCTGCCTTTTATGGAACCCAAAGTGTTCAGAAGAGGTCACCACACCATCGGACAATTACTCCATTCACACACGGAAGAAGGCAATGGCAAATCACTTCTGGATCATCTGCCAAGAACGTATATGAACAGGTCCCAGTCCGAGAAAAGGATGGAAGGATCCTGTTCATATGGACCTGTCGTCAGACAGAACACTAAATAATAATAAGATGAGGTGGTCTAGCGGTTAGAACGCTGGCTTTGTAATCCTGGGGTCTCGGGTTCGAATTTATAACTTGTGTTGGGCAAGGCCGTGGTCTAGGCAATGGCAAACCACTTCTGGATAATCTGCCAAGATCGTATATGAACAGTTCCCAGTCCGAGAAAAGGATGGAAGGCTCCTGTTCATATGGACCTGTCGTCAGACAGAACACTAAATAATAATAAGATGAGGTGGTGTAGCGGTTAGAACGCTGGCCTTGTAATCCTGGGGTCTTTTGGGTTTGATTCCCGGCGGTGCCCGCATTTATAACTTGTGTTGGGCAAGGCCGTGGTCTAGGCAACCCGGAGTTTTCCTCCGTGGCATCCCAACAATTACTCCATTCACACACAGAAGAAGGCAATGGCAAACCACTTCTGGATCATCTGCCAAGAACGTATATGAACAGGTCCCAGTCCGAGAAAAGGATGGAAGGATCCTGTTCATATGGACCTGTCGTCAGACAGAACACTAAATAAATAAAAAAAAAAGTCCCTATCTGTGCGTTGTCCTTCCGAGAGACGTCTTCTCTCCAGGTTTCCAAGTAAAACCTGGGTATGTATTTCTCATGTGTCCATGCGTGCTATATGCCCAATCTACCTTGTATGACCATCCCAATAATATCCGGCGAAGAACATAAATTATGAAGTTGTTCATTGTGTGGACTTGTTCCGTCCAAATGATGGAAAACGTTAAAGGGTAAATTGTTTTAAGATCAGCAAAATAACCGAATTACGAAATGAAGTTTTCATGAGTAATTTCGACAAGTGTACAAAACAATTGAAGTGAAATGGTAACTAATTATCTGGCGTTCCATGACTCACAGTTTGGATACAACAGCTTCTGCCTTGGAACGGAAGATGCGATTGGCATTACAAAGAGTGACTGCTGGAAATGGCAGGCGCCATGTTGGATAGTGGTTCGTCTCCACGCTGG